GAGGTGCCGTTAAGCATAATATTGACAATGGAGCCGAAAAAGAGCCTCGCTCTCGCTCGAAGATTTCTTCGTGGAGTCCGTCAGGCCCATTAAGGAAAACAAAAAAAATCATCATCATCATCATCATCATCATCATCATCATCATCATCATTATCATCATCATCATCATCATCTCTCTAAAGAAACAACACCGCAGTTATAAGCCTTAATCAGCTCTTCCAGATCAGAATACAATCCATTTAATAAGAGCCAGCCTTTAAATAACAGGCATTTTTGGTCTTCTTTGTTTTTCCACAGGGTACGTAAACACACAGATCATCTAGTGGACCACACGAACAGTTCACAGGCAGAGGCTGGATCAGACTATCCATCAACCACCAGGAATCAACTCGTTCTCTCGGCTGTCATACAAGTAGCCTACTTGATACCTGCGGACTCCGGGCAGACTAAATTATCCAAACAAAAAAACAGCTTGATAATCAGTTCGCTTAGATAAAACGATACAAAAGAATAAAGAAGAAGGGCTCTCGTGTTATCCTAACAAAACACAATAAGTGAACAATGTGACAATGGAAAAAAAGTTCATACCTGTGCGGAAAACCCCCTAGATCTACAAGAAACAAAAGAGACACCAGTTTCCAAACTTGTAAAAACATAAATAGGCCTACTTTAACATAAAATCCAAAATGTGCTTTGAAATGAAAGCATTTGTAAAGATAAAATTCGCAATTTAAATGTAATACCCAAATCTAACACATGTGGAATAATGACAAGCTCGTACTTAGGCCTATCAAATGCGATGAATTACTAAATGTTATAACGACGATAGATTCATATTTTGAGTCTATATCCGTATCAACTCATATTGTTAGTATGCGATCTTAGACTGAGTTATATTTTCTACTTGCGTATGATGTGAAATCATGAATATATGTACGTTTTTGTTTATTTTATATTACATGTGGCTTCTATGTTCCAAAACTATCTTGTTGAGTCAATTCTTGTTTCTAAATGTAAGTGTGTGTGCGGTTGTTTTTTTTTGGGGGGGGGGAGAGGGAGAGAGAGAGAGAGAGAGAGAGAGAGAAAGAGAAGTAGAAAGAGACAGACACATACACACACACACACAAATACACACACTCACAAACACACGCACACACACACGCAAACTCACACACACACATACACACACACACACACACTCACAGACATGATACATGATGATGCTTGATATAGAGAGAAATAGATACACTGAGAACTGTAAAGAAAAGGGGAAAGAAATAGAAGCAGATAGATCGATAGATAGATAGATAGATAGATAAATAGATAGATGGATAGATAGCTAGATAGATAGATAGATAGATAGATAGATAGATAGATAGATAGATAGATAGATAGATAGATAGATAGATAGAGAGGGAGATAGAGGGAGAGGGAGATAGAGAGTTGGAGAAAGAGAGAGAGACAGAGAGAGAGAGAGAAAGAGAGAGAGGGAGAGAGAGAGAAAGAAAGAAAGAAAGAGAGACAGATAGTGAGAAAAGATGCACGACCACCACGAGCAACAACAGCTTCAACCACTATTTTAATGATTTGGTAACTACCAAAAGTAACAGTACCATAACTTATCGGCGTACGGTAGTCTTTTGTACAATCGAAAGTATCATGATGTATCTTTCTAGGCTTTCTTCAACAACATATAAGATAAGATAAGATAAGATTACTTTATTGTCTCAGAGAAACATTTTTCTTGGGTGTACAGGACCGTAAAACACATTCAGTTTATTCATAGAAATTAAATTATTTCAAAATAAAAAAATAATATGAAAAGAAAGATAAGGCAATAATTTTTGACATCACATCAGATGCCCCAGTCGACCATATTATGCAGGAATTTAGCACAAGACCTTTAGCGTTATATAGATACAAAAATAAATTCCAAAAAGGCAACACACATTCATTTTTATTCTCACAGTAACCTTATACTAGATGGGAAAAAACTTACGCCTAAGGCCTACTTAATTGGTGGCGTGATACTTAATATATAGCTTATATTGTAGCCTATGGGGAAAAAGAGTTCTCATATAACGCGCTGATATTGCACTTTTGAAAATGTGTCAGTGTGTCAGCATGGACGAGAGGCTCTTTGTCACACAATTAAACCTTAATACAGTTAGTCTATAGTTCGTATAAAACATCAAATAGTGGGTGGTTGGCGGGAGCTCTGATGTGTGGTTTGCTCCATCTTTGCTATCTAACATCTATCGTTCTTATTTCTTCTCTTCCCCCTTTTATTTGTTTAGAATTGTTACAATTTTGTAACACCCATCGTCTTTGGTAGGCCTACCTATAATAATAATAATATGACCCAATTATGTTGCGAAATTCCGATGAAATAATAATAAGTATAAGATAGGCTTAAGAAGCCTAAAAGGCCAACATCTCAAAATCCATAATTTTGACCAGAAGCAGACAGATAATAGATAGACCCTCCTCCTCCTCCCCC